GGCTATTCTCTTTTGCATCTCCTCCATTTTGGCCAGCATGGCCTCATACTTGGGGTCCGCATGAGGGGCGGTGACGGTGGTGTGTGCTCGATGGGCCTCCATTTCATCAAGCCGGTGTTGGAGGGCCGCAATAATGTCGTCCATGTGATCCTTCGGGAGGGCCTCCGCCCCCTGCGAACGAACACGGGCCGAGTGGGCCTGGTTGATTTGATGTCTAGCGTCATCGGCATGGAGTGGTGCCTTGCCTTTGTTTTGAAGGGGACGCCTCTCGTTTGCCCTCGCGACGGAACCCCCGCTTTCCTGGGGTTTTTGGAGCGCCTTTCCTCCGATGCGGTCTTGGACCCCTCGGCGGTCTTGCGTCCCTCCGAACCTCTCGAGGGAGGAGGTTCGAGGCCCCTCCTTGTTCACACCGCGTTGGTCCCGGGATTGGACCTCTTGGGTCGCGGTATCTTGGGCCATGACCCCCTCGTTGTTCCCTAGCCGAAGGATGGGGTTCACGAAGGTGGGCGGAGGAGGGGAGGAATGGCGTTCTCCCCGACCTGCGGCTGAAGGGGTACCAGAGTGCCGAAGGCACCCGGGTTTTGGGTGAGTGTTTGGATGAAGGCGGAGAATGCCGAATGTACGTCAATAGTGAGAACCGGAGGGCTCACTTGATTTTCGCTCCGGTCTCTCCTCCGGGTTTCGATGCCAAGACGGGCATCGGGGGCATTCTGCTGAAGCTGAAGGTGTATGTCAACAGCAGCCTGTTCCAACTCAGTGATGATCCCATCCTCGGGAGCCTTGTTAGAGGCTCCGGGGGCGTTGACTTCACTGAGGGCTAGGTTGTTGTCCTCAAGGTTCTTAGACTGAGCACGGGTGGTTCTTCCCATTTTGGTAGGTGTTTTGAGCTAAAGGGGAGGGTTTCTTACTTGATTGTTCTACCTCTCAACGAGAGCACCAAATGATGGATAGTGTACCCGGGGGGTAGCTTATTCGAGGGGTTACTGCGGGGAGTAACTTAGAGAGAAGTCAGAGTAAATAAGTAAGAGAGATAAAGAGTTCAAATGTATATTCGAGTTGTATTGAGCGTGGTTTACAAATGGGGAAAGAGGTGCTATTTATAGCAGCAATAAATGCTAGATAGGGACACGTGTCAACAATCTGGTGGTCGATGGGTCACCTCAACCGGTGTGGCATTGGCATTCGCATGTGGCCGCATTAATTGCGGTGGTTGGATATGACGTTTGTACTTGGTACGTTGATCCAGCGCATGTGGATGGGAGATCCTGTCGAATAGGATGCCTTCGGCTGTAGATGACAGGCCAAAGGTTCTTCGTGCCGGGGGCCCATATTGCCGAGGGCTCCTAATGTCGAAGGCTTGGTTTTTAAGCCTTGTTCTCCTGCGATGTTTCTGAGCCCTATTCTATCATTGGTGGCCTTCGGCTATGGGGCCAAAGGGACCCCCTCATGCCTCGTGGGCTGCCTAGAGCTTCATTATGCTGGGCTTGGCCCGTTTTGGGCCTGTTGGGCCTGAATGTAATAGTGGAAGTATGTGGGCCGACGGGGGGGGGGGGGGGGGGGTCCTGGGCCATATACTCTATCAGGAGTCCCTCACTCCTTTTGCCGAAAGGTTCTTGAGAGAAAATGAGTAATTGTGTTTGTCCTCTGATGTTGCCTTGCTGTAGTTTGTAAAAGTGTGAGGAGTTTTGCGCCTGCGTTCTTATTAAGAAATAACGTTCTTATTAATGAGTAAACTGTAAGATCTAACAATTAAGAAATATAGAATTTTTTTATTATTGGGTTCATAACAATTATGTTTACTTGAGATGCTTATGTTGAAGATCAATTTAACTTTTTTTTTCATATATTTTTTTCTTTGTTTCACAAATGGAATATATTTCACATATATTTTTCATGATTGAGAAGATTCCACCTATTTAACCAAAATTCAATCAATTTCAGCAAAATAGGTTAATTCTATTTACTTTAGTATTATCAAACGGACTCTATATTAGACTAAGTTTATTTTTCTTTTAAATCATATTATATGTGATCCGATAGAAATTAAATTTCAAATTAGCTAAATTACATACTGCCCGTGCATCGCACGAGTTTGAAAGCTAGTATATAAATAAGACGGAGTAAATAAATTGACTTCACACATCGTGTGATTCTTCAAATTAAGTATAAATCATATTTCTTCCTATTCATAGGCGAAGTTAGGGGTGGGTCAACCTAGGCCATGGCCCACCCCAAATTTTAAAAATGGCTTAATTTTTAAGGTAAAATATTTCGTGTAATTTGTTTTGTAAAAATATTGTTTGTATCGGTCCAGTGTCCTGACTTCGCTCCAGTTCGTATTGTAATGTCCTCTCAAATATTAGAGTTTTGCATTCCAAACTTATTTTTCGTAGTGATTTTGACACTTACTCGTTACAATTTATAGTCACATTTTTGTTCATGAATTTATTTATTAACAATATTTTAGTAATATTATTTGTAGTTCTGGTTTTGTACTTTTGTTTACGGAGTACGTATTTTTTTTTAAAAAAAATATCCGAATATTTCGTCTGCAACTGTGTGTCTGTCTGTAGCAAGTGATTGTTCTTTCATCTGGAGTAGGACATGATGACTCTCATGAAATACTCGCAAGTTGCACCTAGACATTTTCACAAATCAAATCCAACGACAATAACAAATTAGATAAGGATCGTAAGAACAAAAACTCGGGAATAATTCAGGCAATATTTTTTTTATTTACTCGGGGTCCGGGGGAGGGGGCGGGTGTCTGGAATAATCAGAGTTGAAACTCACTTTATTGAGTTTCAAACCCTTTAAATGTCTAGTGTGTTTCGAACTCGAGACCTTTCATTAGATACAGTAAACTCACAACCAGCTAGACTGGAATAAATTGGACAATATATAATTGCACAACCTTCGTTTAGGTCAAATCAAGAAAAACATGACATGAATTAGAGTGTTTGGGTAAAAGTGCATAAATACTTCTGAAAACTGAAAATTGCTCATAGAATCAGTTTTTTAGAAGCTATGGGAGACCAGTTTCTCAAAAACTGATTATGAATCTACTTCTGCTTTTACAAAGAATCAAAACCAGAATAAGTTTCAAATACCCCTTAAAAGTATGTGAGATTATGAATAGTGAAGGAGTATATATGAATTATTGAACGTAGGATGAGAAGATAAGGGAATAATATGCATGATTGATGATGGATAAAAAAAAATAGTTGTAATAGAATATCATTTTCTAAATTATTGAACATATGATAAAAAGATTTATAAAGGGAATTTACCCTAAATACGAGTAAATGAGTTTTGGAATTCCAAAATAGGACTACTGTGTTTTTCTTCCCGAAATAGGAGTTTTTATTGTCAGGTATGAAAAATACTGCCATTAATTATAATAAATATTGTCATGTTAAATGCACTGTACTGCAACTATTTGACAGTCACGTCTACAAAATGACAGTAAATACTATCATGTTAGTCATATTTCGGGAATAAAAAATAATATTCCTATTTTGGAATTTCAAACTCCATTTACTCCTATTTTGGGAAATCTCTCATTTAAAAATGAAAGAAGTATTTAGTTACGGATAAATAGAGAACCCGTTTGGTAACACTGAAATCGACTTATACAGCTGATTCTGCTGAAATTTATGAAGTTCTGGATGAAGTGGCTGTATTGGCTGATTCTGCTGATTTTTGAAAAAATGATATTTAAAATATACTTTATTAATAAAATAAAGAAAAAGTTATATCGAGAAACAACTAAAATGGTCACCTACAGTAACTTTAGCCAATACAGCCTTAAAAGCAAATCCAACCTTATTTTTTCTTATTATTTCACAATTCTACGCGTGAGTTCAAAAATTACGTTTTTGGTTGAAAAGTTGGTTGATAAGCCTAATAAGCCGAAAAAGAGACTTAAACGTCCTTATAATTATGCTAGATGCATGATTTGCATAGTATGCTACAACGTACTTTTTTGCAATTATGTTCTTATATTTTCCTGGTTGAAATGTCTCAAAATCAAGTTCATATTTCTTAATATTTGAGTAATATAATACTTTTTACCTCTATGAAAATACATCATAAAATTTGATTTTTTTTCCTATGATAATTGTGAAGGGCGTATTGGGAGTGCCAATAAAAAATTACTTATAAACTTGTGAGGTTAAATTAACTAGAAATAGAGAGTGTGTTTTGAAATTGGATGGATCGGTTAAATTTGCGGGAATTGATAAAAGTTGGACTAAAGCAACAAGTTGGTTAAATATCCTGAATTATTAAAAAAGTTAGATACGGAGTACTATATAATCAGTATAATTTACATAATACGAAGATAATTAAAATAGTTCATTCCGTCAATTTGATTCAATTCAGTCAAAAAATAGCTTTAACGATCGTTATTTTTATTATTACAGTAATCTGCGCGCGAAATTAAAAGTTACGCATTAAGAGATCGTTTGGTAATATTGTTTTTCGGCTTATCAGGCTTATCAGCCAGCTTTTTCATCAAACACATAACTTTAGCTTCCGCGCGCTGAATTGTGTAATAAGCAGAAAAAGTAAGATTAGAGTTATTTTTCTGATTGTATTGGGTGAAGTTACTGTAGACGATCATTTTAGCTGTTTTTACATACTACCTCCGTCCCATAAAACTTGGCCAACTTTCCTTTTTTGAACGTCCAAAAAAACTTTGTTATTTTCATTTAAAGTAACAAATATGTGGCTAAAGTTATTTCTCTCTCCTTCGCAAGTAACATTATTAGTCTAACATTGGTCAAGTTTTAGGGGACGGAGGGAGTATGATTTTTTCCTTATTTTATCAATAAAATATATTTTAATTTTTTTTTCTTAAATCATCAGAATCAGCCAAAGCAACCACTTCAACCAGAAATTCATGAATTTCAGCAGAATCAGCTAAATCAGCCGATTTTCGTGGTACCAAAGAGGGTCTAAATAAAAGAATTACTCAAGAAGATTCATAAGTTAAAAAGTGGTAAGATGTGTAGCACTTAGGTTTGTGATAAGAGCTGGCAGTTCAGACCACTATATGATGTAGGCCAGTAAGGTTGAGACCAATAGTCTCACTACTCACTGAAGAAAGCCTTAACAAAGTGGCCAATTTCACAAAATCAAACTTGTGTATCATCATTCCTTGAGCTTTCTAGAATAGATCCCATAGTCTGCTTTCTGAGGGACAAATAAAAGCCGCAAGTTCCTCTTATCTTGTTCGTACCACCAACTTTAACTTTGGCATTTTAATCCATCCTTTTCTATAAAAGGAGACGATGATAAATCATGCTATATAATCATATTATATGTTTGGCTTTCCCACCGGATTTACATTTATATAAAGACGGAAATCAATCATCGTATACTGACAACATGGAAAACCGCCGCCAGAAGAGCAGTTCCGGCGACAAATTCTCCTTCCCGATCATGGGCATGCCGGAAAAGGAACCCGAAGACGGAGAGTTTGAATTCGGGTGCATTTCCACCTCACCGGAAGCCTCTCCCAACTCGCCGGCCGACCGGCTCTTCTTCAACGGAAAGCTAATGCCGCACAATTTCCCAACGTCCCGACAACCAGCGGCGGTTACGGATGGTTTCTCGTATTCGCGATCGACGAGCAGCGTCAGCAGCGGCAAGGAATCGATGATGTCATCCCGGAGCAACAGCGGCAGCAGCTCCGGCGGCAGCGCAAGAACCAGCGGCAGCGGCGAGTCGGCTTTTAATATTAATATCAGACGGTTAGCTATTATTAATATCAACAATAGAAGTAAATGGGCCCATTCTTCCAGCAGGCCGCTTCCGAGTTCTAAGCCGCACCTCCTCCCGGCTTCTAAGAAATCGCAGTTCATGGCTGCTCCGGCCCATGGGCCGGTTCATCTCTGGAATAAGCGGCCCGGATCTCTCTCGCTGGGGAAAGGGCATAATAGTCAAGAAGTTAAAGTGATGAAACAAGGTGATCAGCAGCAAAGTGATGGTGAAGGAAGAGGATCTCCGCCGTGGTTTGGTCGAAGGGTTTTAAGGTCAATTGTATCCTCTTGCAAAGAATGTCATGCCATTCCACCCACAACTAAGCAGGCCAAAGATATTGTTATCTCAACAATTTAGAAAATGTGGCTAGTGGTTGAAAGGGCAATACTGTATTTTCTCAACTTTTCTGCAAGATCTTATCATTATTGGGACGAAACTTGAAAGAACAAATGGTTGTATTTGGACACATGTAACACACTTCCGGGCATGTATGGATCAAATTTGGCACGAATTATAACATGTTTTTGGCACGACTTTGTCTCAAGTATTTGATGACAAATCAACATTGACACAAATTTGGTACCTACTCCATGGGACTGTTTGTTTCTTGGGGATTTCAATCAAAACACTGCAAAAAACAGCGGATTCCCTTTATAAATAAATGACATTTTGGCCTAAGTCGCTGATATCGGGGCCCCGTCAAAGATCCATGTCAAGTACATGTCATTCATTGTTTTTGTAGTGATGAGTGCACTACCTGTGTAACAAGCACATCTTTATTTGGGTGTGATTTCACTTGTGACCGTTTTTGTTGATTTTTTTGTAGTGATTTCACATGGTATATTTGCTGACCGTCTAACAAAATCATTTGTCCATGTGGTTTAGGTTAATGATACTCGTAATCCGTAATATTCAACTCTTCTTCATGATTATTGAAACAAGAATGTTTTTTTTTTCCTTTTTGATAAATTCAAACAAGAATGTTGTTAAACTTGTTTTGCCTAATTTTTTTGTCTGCGCCTGGTCTGCTATTTTTCTTAAACATCCTTAATTACTCGTAAATACGAAGAACGTATTATGCTAATGGTAAAAATTGGTGAACGCATATCTAAATAAGTTACATCTATATATCAATGCATGTTCAATTTTTTGGGCAACCATTGTCTTTCTTGAAGATTCTAACTATATATTCAAGAATTTATGAACCAAATAGTATTAAGGCATCACAAAAATTGCAATAGTATTACTAAATACTACTCCGTATAAACATTTATGATTGACTAAAGTATTCAAGAATTTATGAACCAAATAGTTAATAGGGTATTTCTTGTTGATTTTGAAATCTTGTACAAGAGCACCATCTAGCCAAATAAACTATATCAATATATACTATGAAGTTTTTTATTTAGCTATATTTGATTTTTCCAATGAATTGTTTTATTGGAACTTAACAAAACTTAAAAAATTTATACTTTTATGATAGTATTAACAAAGAACAGTTTCATATCATTTTAATAATATCAATACTACCATATCTAAACAGTAATCGATCAAGACTTGAAAAGTCTAATTTACCTAAATAAAGAGGATGATATTATTTTCATCAATAGGATATAATCCTTAAAAAGTCGAATTTAACATCATAAGGATGTAATCCTTAAATAAGTAGTATTTCATATCCGTGTCTCAATATAATTTCTCTTTAGTTTCATGTATTTATTCAAGACCGATCTAGCCATCTCGGAGAATAAGGGCCTATTTACTAACAGAGATATTTTCAAGTTTTCCGGAAAACTGAAAAACTAGACAACAGAAAACGGGAAACGTGTTTACCAAATAAAATTGATGGAAAACTGGAGAAACGAAACAGAAAAACGCGTTTACCAAACCGTTTTCCAAAACGAAAAAAATGAGACATGTCTCTCTTTTCCTTAATTATTTGGAGAAGTGACTTTTACTAGTTTTCCAAATTTGGAAAACACAGATGCTACAGGCCGCTGCAATGAATTTGCATACTTACATCTAGTGGTGGGTCTGATCCCGCTCCGATGTCGATTCCATTCTAGTACCTCAATCCTCGTACCTTACCTCTTACCCCTACCCTACTCTACCCAGCCAACCCCCGCCCCGCATTCCCTTTTTCCCTACAATGATTCTACCCCAGCCTTACCACATGTCCCTACCTCGGTCTCACCCCGATCCACTCTACCTACCGCCACCCCTACCACCTTAACCCCACCCCGACCCACCCTACCCCCACCTCGTATATTACCCCTTACCCCTTACCTTACCCCTTCCCAAATGCCCCCTACCTTGGCCCCACCCTACCGCCATCCTACCCCCACCCTCATACCGCCATCCTACCCACACCCTACTGCCATCCTACCCCCACCACAATCCTACCCCCCACCGTACCCCTTCCCCTACCTCGGCCCCACCCTGATCCCGGCCCCACCCTATCCCAACTCCCTACCCTACACCTATCTTACCCTAACCCCAACCCTACTCACTACCCCCACCCTTACCCCTAACCACCACCCTAACCCACCCACTACCCCACCCAACCCCGTACTCCTAGACCTTACCACCCCACTCTTGAGCATACCCCTTACCCTACCCCCACCCACCCCCAACCCCGTACCCCTAGACCTTACCACCCCACCCTTGAGCATACCCCTTACCCTACCCCCACCCACCCCCAACCCATACCTTCCTTCCCTAACCTGACCCCTACGAGTAGGTATGGGTGGGTATGAAGGGTTTTAAGGGAGTATGGGTAGAGTGTAAGATCGTGGTAAGGGTAGGGGTCAAGGGTGTGGAATTGGGTGTAGGGTGTAGGGTGGGGGTACGAGGTATAGGGGCAGGGTAGGGGTTAGGAGTATGGGTACATGTACGTGGTGATCAACCCCACATATTATATTATATATTTGTGTTCATGAATGTTTGTGTGTCTGTATATGTATAAGGTTATTTTGGACATTTTAATGTTAAACGGTGTTTTAAACCTTTTGTAAAAAACATGATCTTATAACATTACTTATTTTATGCGTCGCTTATTAACGCGATTCTTAATAAGCACCATTTAGTAACCTGTGAAGTTAACGTGTCAGTCTTTTGGATGATCACAGAACTGAGTGAAAAAATTGATGAACATGTTTTGAGATTTGAAAATGGAAAACTAGAAAATAGAAACAGAAAACTAGAGATAGAAAAACTAAAAACTAAAAATAGAAAATTGGAGAATGAAAAATAGAAGTAGAAAACAAGAAAATATCTTTGTTAGTAAACATGCCCTAATATTTTCTTTTGTTTCAAAAAACTCTCAGACAAATAAAGAAAATGAGATTGTATGTGTTGATTTGAAAGGAAAGAAAAATGAAAACAACAATAAAAATGTACACACTGCTAATGAAGATGACAGTTTTTCTTTCTGTGATATACATATCTACACTATCTTGGTATGTCACTAATGTCACTATATTCTCTTCTTCAAATTATTAATAGTATATATTACCTCCGACCCATTAACCTTTGTTAAGTTAATGTTAGAGTAGTAAAAAATGTGTCGTTAAGTTTGTGCAGAGGAGAGAGAAGTGAACAGAACCACAAATTTTTTGGGACAAACAAAAAAGAAAAATCAGCAAATTCCAGTGGCACAGAGGAAGTAATAAGATGATAAGATAACGTCATTTCCTACTTGGTCCAAAAGGTGGAATCTCCCACCCAGGAGCCCCTCACCCCGACCGACAGGATGGTGAGGAGATTAATCACGATGACTCAGTCAGCAAAGCAGTGGTAGGTCTTATACACGTGCGCATCAGATGTCCAGTCTTATTTCAGGTTCTGTAACCTCCACATGGTCGCTGCGGGTTTCGAACCTTTGTCACCTGGTCCAATTTTCCCACCAGTCGACCAATTGAGCTACCCGTGCGGGTGCGTGATTTCCTACTTAAAATTACACGGAGTATCTAGATACAAACATTTTCAGAAACGACCTTGATAGTACACACTCGTTACAGTATTATGTTATCCCATCGTTAGAGTATTAAAATGTAATCATGGCTTCTTAAGAGTGGCTTACAATTTACACTATGGCATAATCATGCTGTTCCCTTGAAATTGTTGGCCTATAGTCTAGTTAATACTCCGTAGTTAGCTTAGATTGTTGTTTCTTATCTTCATTTTTAAATAAAAATTGATTGTTGAAAAAAGTGAGAAGTAAAGATCATAACTAACATCATGAGAATATGAGATCGGAGAAAAAAAGGTAAACAACCGTTGAAAGTGACCTCATCTTTATAGTCTTTCGTTAGAAAAAGCTTAATTTGTTCAAAGAATGAATTTGGAACTTGGGGATCAGCGCAATTTTATTTTAATTACTACGAAAATGAACCGGCAACTTTAGTTTTGTCCGCCACTTTCGGCGGAAACAAAGAATTCGGGCCTAATCATTTTTTCTTTTCTTAAATTGATTAATTAATAATAATAAAAACTCAAGCAACAATATATAGGGTTTTTTTTAATTTTTATTGTGAAGTTATTTAATTTGGTTCGTAAGCTCTTTACATTTTTGTATATATTATGTGTAATTTTCAAATGTTCCTGAATATAATTTTATATTGTTTTGTATTTTCTAGTTTTGAGTATTATGTACAATGATGTTTTCTTTTGGAATGTTTTGTGTCTCAGACCAATCCAGACCATATCAGATCAAACTTAAATAGATCAGACTTAAACAGACATGACCATATCAGACTTATATAGTTATAAAATACACAAAGATCAGAGGTCTGGGAGGTTCGTTGTTGAGGCGGCTGCAGAGTCCTACATTTTTTATGTATATTTATGTTTTTAATTTTTTATTTTAATTGTTTAAGTTTTTTAAATAATTTTTTAATTTTTTTCTCAAAAAAAATAATTTTATTAAATATTTATTTTCGTGTATTTATTTTTTTAATTTTTATTATTAATAAATTTGTGTTATTACTTATAAGTTTTAATTATTAATAAAATATGAATTGTATTAAAACAAAGCACGGGTAGAATCTAAAATCTAGTCCTATCTAGAGAATTTTAAAGTTATAGTCCTATTTTGGTAATTGGAGTTTCACTTGGGACCTATGTAGCACCGATACCGGTACGCGGAATCGCGGAAACGCGGACACGGGTACGGGGATACGACAAAAAAAAAAGTAGGATACGGATACGGAGCCATATTTTTAAATATTAAAAGTTATGGGGGTGTATTTACAAATATTAAAAGTTACAGGGGTGTATTTATAAATATTAAAAATAGTTTTTTTTGGAAATATATACATATAATATCCTATGAAATATACAAAAAAAATAATTTTTTTGGATATATATATATGTGTGTATATATATATATATATATATCCTATATATACATATATACCCATTCATTACATATACATCATAATATTTCTCATTTACACTAGTGCATCTCGAAATATAAATGTAGACATGTAGTCGATAAGTCATTATTTTAAAATGAGAAATAAGTCAAACAACTACAATCTTGAAATTAAAAGTGCAAGTACCAAAGTTCTAGAATAATTAAGATAGAAAATAATATTTTAAAAGCTCTAACATCTAATACATATTTTTACTGGAAGTATTAATTTCCAGGAATAATATCATCTTCCAAAAAAACCGTCAGGATACGAGTATCAGAAACTTTCAAAAAATTATAAAAAAAATGGAAACTTTTAAAAATTACTGATACGGCCCGGAAACGTACGATACAGGTATCCTAGAGTATCGGATACGGGAACGTATCCGATACGCCGATACGCTACCCTAGGGAAGCATCCGTGCTTCATAGCTTGGGACCTATTTGGGGAATTCCCCTTAAACATTGATCGTTTTCATTACACATTCTCAACCACAGGTGTATCCAAGCTTTTCCGTCGAG